ACTGTGCGATAACCCTTGTTTGTAAGCGAGAGGCAGAATGGAAAGATAAATGAAGGAGGCCACTCGCAACCCTGGTGGAGGGTTTTAAAGCGGGCAGGTGATCTGACTGGTTAGTTCTGATTTATTATGAAGGCATCTTTATGCTTTTTGAATTGCCTTCCATCAGTCATGTTAAGCAGAACTGCATTCTTAGAAGGCAGTTCATCCCCTACACACATGCACACGCTAATCACTCATGTCAAACTAATGCGTATGAAGAAAGTACAGTATGTGATGACTATTAGAAAAATCTTTTTTGTTTTAGCTACTGGTATAAGTTTACAGTACTGTATCAGCATTTCCAGAGATTGATTGTGACTGTTAAAGGACAGAGACTTTTTCTGGTTTGTGGCAAAATTGCTTTTCACAGGTTGTCCCAGAAGATCTTAGTTTTTAAAAAAATATTTTGCAAATGAATTCTATAACAGGGAGAGGTGTAGAATTATGGGGACAAAAGCACATGTGGGGAAAATCATCACCATCGTCTCCCTGATTGTATTTTTTGACGTGACATTATATACTGGAAACAAGCATTTTAGTTTAGTAAAGTCATTAGCTACTGGTATAAGTTTACAGTACTGTATCAGCATTTCCAGAGATTGATTGTGACTGTTAAAGGACAGAGACTTTTTCTGGTTTGTGGCAAAATTGCTTTTCACAGGTTGTCCCAGAAGATCTTAGTTTTTAAAAAAATATTTTGCAAATGAATTCTATAACAGGGAGAGGTGTAGAATTATGGGGACAAAAGCACATGTGGGGAAAATCATCACCATCGTCTCCCTGATTGTATTTTTTGACGTGACATTCCTTATCACAAGGGAATGAGGCACTTCTGCTGCTTCACTACCCCCTGAGCCTCATTCCATCTCTGAGAGGAATCACAAAGCCACTCACTGGTCCATCTCCATTTTATTTCTTGTTGTTTATTAACACAACCATACTCTTTTGAGAGCTCTGCCATCCCTTAGTAGAAAGCATCCGAAGTGGTTGGAATGACTGGTGGAAAAATAATAAACATTTTCAGCTGCAGTTGTTCAGATTCTGGACGAGGTGTTTATAAACATCTTCTCTAGAACTGTCAAGAGGCGGAGCTAACATCATTGAAAGATGATAAATTCTGACATGGTGCTCTGAGATTTCACTGCCACTGAATGTAGGTTAATATGGGATTCAATAGGAAATCTGGCTTGTATATTGCTACATATTACAGGAAAGGAAGAAACTTGTCATTTGTCTGCAGATTGCTAATTGCAGCTTATTGCACATGCAAAAGGTTAATTTGGGTATGTTATCACAGTAATCGCATGCGCTGCCTCAGAATAAACTATACTCCTACTCTTATTGATGATCTAGCCTGTGGGATTCGGGACATTATTTTGTAAGATTATGGCAAATAAGAATTTTACAGTGAAAGCTGTAACAGTAGGCAGCAGTGTCCCTAAGTGTAAGCAACTGGGATAGGCTGGAGTTGCAAGTCTCTGGTATGAAATACTTTTCCTTGACCCTTAATTTAGTTATTCCCTGAGATGTATGTAATTTATTCTTTGTGATGACACATTGAAAACAGAGGTCTCATCTATTCTAAATGAAAATTATATCCTATTCTTATTATTGCTAATGCTTTGTATTTAGAGCAGTATTTAAAGGCCTCAGATTAATTCATGACCTCTTCATGCCAGGTGCTGTGTATACACACACAGTAAGCTCACTGCCCCAAAGACCTTACACTTTAATTAAATAAAGGATGGAGGAAGGAAGTTTTATTACCTCTGTCACAAATGGGAAATGATAACAGAGAGAAACTAAAAGGACTGAGAATTACACTCCTCCTGCAATGAGTCCTGTATTTGCCTATAATATATCCTCCCTTCCTGCTTTTGTTAAGTTGCTGTAGATTGGTAGGTAGATGGTTGGTCTCTCCCACAGAGATGGAGTTTACTGTAATTCTGCATATGTTTCAAGGTTTAATGGAATGAAAGGAGCTATGCAGATAGATAATGCTTTAATTTAGGTCTGATTAAGTTATTCTGAAGGCATATTTCTGTGAAGTAAGTAGATTCATATGAATCTTGTGTGCATTGCTTGTTGCAGTATGAGCACACTATTGCATAGATTCTCTGTTCCCAAGGAGGTGCTGCACTGCTGGTGCATGCGTGGTTTAAGGTACATCAGTATAACTTCTTTATTGTTATTATTATTATTCCCTGTAGTTTGCTCTTAAACGTTTTCTAAAATAGTAAAAAAGCAATAGCCCTCAAGACGTTGGACTATTCCACGGGATTCATGGGAGGCTTGAAACACCAGTGCACACTTAGTCTCCCAGAAATCCACCTCCTCCTCCTCCTGCCCCTGGAAAGTATCATGCTTATTCTAGAGAGAGTGCTGATATGCACTTTAAACAATTTTAATTAAAACTTTTATCTTAACATTAAAAAATAAAGCTAGATCTGCATGGAATCTTGCTTTGAGAAAATTTTTCCTGTAGAGGAGCATAAGCCTGAAGGTAACTCCTGAAGGTAACTTGTTTTCCTTTTCCTCCTTAGTCAGTAGATGGATGCTCAGTAGAGCACAGTGATCTTGGGCAGAAACATGATCAGAGTTTAGGCAGCTGGGGTGGGAAGGGGGAGGGGGAAAAAAGGGGACAATATAAATCAGGAGAATAAACCAAACAAAGGACAGGTAAAATCCAAGCACAACCCAACCACTCTCCTCACATCTTTGCATTTCAGTGTTTACGCCCCTCTGTTGGACGTCAATAACAATAATCTTCTATATTGACATGTCTTTCCCTCATCTCTGTCCTGCCCTGCCCCTATCTGGTAAATGGGTACAGTTATTTTCTGGCTCACTGATTTTAGAGTCTTTCAGTTAAAACGACTGCAAAGAAGCAGGCTTTTCATTTTTATTTTATTTAATAACAAAGAACAGTGTTTAAAAAAAAGATGCTCAATGCTGAAAATAGTTAAGAGCCTTCTGGATCCTTGAGCATTTGTTAAGTAATCTCTCATTTACCTCCAATGGAAACCATCACTGCTGCCTATTGAAGTGTAAATTTGTAAAATAACCAATCTTTTAAATATGAAACTTCAGAATTGCCCTAGTTGATGGGACAAGCTAAGCTCTTAGGAAGGCACATCACCAGTGTATACCCTTGCTAGAAAACAATCCACTGGAGCTTTGTTATAAAACATGCAAACATCCTGAGGAAGTGACAGTAATTTGCAATAAACACTGCAAGTAAACAATTACCTGTGACTTGTTACACTTGTTTGTACAGGCAGCTGGCTAAACAGAGCTGTGTGCGCTTGTAAACGTCTGTCCCCATCAAACTTGCTACTGGAAAACAATTACTTAGTATCTGCTTTCTCTGAAGTAAGAAAAAGTCACTCTTTTGTACCTGGCAGCTGGCAAGGACTAGGTGAACGTGGCTGCTTAGGGATGCAGGGAGAAATAAAAAGCAATAGTGGTGTTCATATGAGGACAGTGAAGGCCCTTCCACATCTATTCGGCAGACGGAAGGATGGTTTTTGTGGCAGGGTATGGGGCGAAAAAGCTGTTTTTAGGGGTTGAGAGGTTGTGTGGTGGCAGCGAGGTGAAGGGAAGGGATTTGGTCCTGCAAGGTCCAGAGAAGAGGCGGGTGCGACCCGTTTCCTAGTGGCTTGGCAGAAGTAGGTGTAAGATGTTGGTGAAGTCTGAGAAGTTAATGTGTGATGTGTCCTCCCCCTTGGGACTCTGAGGGAGCAGAAAAGGTTGACACTGCGAGGGGAGGGAGGCCGGGGAGCGCAGCGATTGCAGTCCCTGACCGATAGCTGCCCCGCTCCATCCCCCCGCGGGCCGGCCCGGCCCCGAACAGGGTGGCACCTGAGGGGCTGCCATCACCCCCACAGCGCCCGCGACGCGCCGGGGCCTCCGGGCTGGGGCCCGCGGGCGCTGCCTTCCCGCTCCTCAGGAGACGGCGGCCGGCGGCAGCGGGCCCGCAGGCCTCCCGGCTCCGTCCCGCCGCGGGGGG